CCAGGTTGGTCTGACAGGACCTGCCTCGAATGAACCCGTGCTGGTTACCCCTAAGCATCACCTCCCCTGCCAACACCTTGCAGATGTGCTCCTGGATAATTTTCTCAAAGAGTTTCCCCAGGACTGAGGTAAGATTAGCTGGCCTATAGTTTCCTGGGTCCTCCTTCCTCCCTTTTTTGAAAATGGGGACCACATTGGCCCTTATCCAGTCCTCCGGCACCTCTCCAGAGCACCACGAGTGCTCGTAAAGGCGTGCCAGGGGTCCCGCAATGACCTCTACTCATTCCCACAGCACCCTGGGGTGGAGATCGTCAGGACCAGCTGATTTAAATACATCCAGTCCCTCCAGAAGTTCCCTGACTTGATCCTCCCTGACCCTAGGCCTGGGTGCGCCTCCCCTGGGGCCTGAGGGGGTCCCGGTGGGGGGGATGTCCCTGTCCCTGCTCAGAAAAATGGAGGCAAAAAATCTGTTAAAGAGGTGAGCTTTACTGTCTGGTGCTACCACCAGATTTCCTAGCATGTCCTGCAGAGGCCTCACATTATTTGGCACCTTCTTTTTACCCCCCATGTATTTAAAAAAGGACTTCTTGTTGTCCTAGATCCAGGTCGCTAGTCCCAGTCCCATCTCTGCCTTGGCCTTCCCGACCGCCCCCTGCAGCTCCGAGCACCCGCGGTGTAGTCCTCCCTGGGGATGGCCCTCCCTGCCATCAGGTGTACGCCTCCCTTTAGCTAGGAGACGTTCCCAGATGCTTCTGGTGAGCCAGGGGGGCTTTTGTGCCCTCTTGCCCCCTTTGATCTGTGTTGGGATTACCTCCCTTTGGGCGTGGAGGATCGTCTCCTTCAGGAACGCCCGCTCTTCTTGGACACCCGACTCCCTTCCCCTCCGGGACCTCAGTGCCTCCCGACTAGTCTCCTTACCGCATTGAAGCCCACCCTCCTGAAGTCCAGGGCTGCTGCCTTGCTGCAGGCCTTGGACACCCTGCACTGGATGGTGAATCCCAGCAGGCGATGACCGCTGTCGCCCAGGTGGTCGAGCACCCGCAGACCCTGCACCAGGTCGTCGCCCGTGGCCAGCACCAGGTCCAGCAAGGCGTCTCCCCTGGTGGGGCTGTGCGCCTCCTGGGTTAGATGGAGGTCCTGTATTTTGGCTAGGACCCTATGTGAGTGGTCACTGCCTTCTCCTCCCAGCAGATATCCAGGTAGTTTAAGTCAAGGGACATGGTCATCATGGGTGACCTAACAGCCTCCGCAAGCTGACCTGAAAATTCCCAGTCCAGCTCTTCCCCCTGGGGAGTCCCCAGATGTGATCCCCTGAGGTCCCTTCAGCCCTCATAGTCTGTCATCCTATGAGAGGGAGGTGGGCGCGTGATGAGATCCAAGCTAAACGCTACTGGCAGGGACATGCCATCACTAGCTCCTTGAAGTGCTCTCACGAGAGTTTCCGTGGTCAGGGTTTAAAAACCCTGGGGACCCGAGGAGATCACTAGGCTGCTTGAAATCAAGAAACAACAAGAACAGCAGACGGGAGCACAAGGCAGGCCCAGAAATGGCACCCTGCAGCCACAGGCTGGTGGAAGGGAAAATGCTGCTTGCTGTGAAGCCGAGTCCACCCAGGCCTCTCCAGAAGCAGATTTATAGCCGTGGCCTGTGTCTCCACGCAGAGCACAGTGCAAGGGGCTGCTCCGCTCCCGGATCTGAGAAGCAAATAGCTCCGGGAAAACACAAGCGTCTGCAAACCCAGAAGCGAGCTGATGGAGCACGCCTGCTCTCCGCGCTCACGCCCGGCCATATGCGCCAGCGTTTTGCAGTGAGCCTCTTGCCCAAGCCCAGAAGCTCAGTGCAGTTGGAGGGAATCTGTCATTCAAGCTGTCACACAATCACAGGACATGTAGTGGGAGGCCCACAGCTGGACACAGGACTCCAGATGTGGCCTCCCCAGTGCCGAATACAGAGGAAGAATCACTGCCCTCGATCTGCTGGCAACGCTCCTACCGGCACAGCCCAGGATGCCGTCCGCCTTCTTGGCAACCAGGGCACACTGCTGGCTCAAATTTGCGAGAGATGCCTGGGACACAGAACATGACAAGCATTTCAGTACAAAGGGACTATTTTTAACCACAAATCACCCTGCTGACGTGTGAAGTGCCACCGCGTCTTGCCTGCATCAGAACCAGATGATTGCCTTTTTGAGCAGGCAACTCTTGCAAAACCAAATCTACCCGGAACAAAAAAAAAGAAGAAACCCTACAGATTTGGCAAAGGTTAGGACACTCACCACATTTCCAGCGACCCATTCATGGCCCGATTCCTGGTTCCTCCGTTCTCTGAATAACGCAATGCCCAGCAAGCGAGTCATAAAGGATGGTGTTTGCTTGGCGTCTTTCACTAAGCGCCATCCGATGCCTGTTGAGCACCCAGGCCAAGAGGCAGAGAAGGAAGGAAGGATGGATGGACGGACATTGTTTCTGGTTCTTAATAGTCTGCAATGGTTATACCGCAGCATCTTTCAGAGACAGCAGTGAGGAGGAGAGCCCGTGCTCCAGGAGCGTGGCATTGCTTCTCCACCTCGTCGGTGCAGCAGGACTCTACTGCAAGCTCTGAGCTTGGAGAAACTGGTACGATGCCGGGGGGTCAAACCCCTGCTGGTCCCAAGAGCCAAGCAAGCCTCCCTCTTTGTGTCCCACCCCGCCATGGCCCACGATAGCTGACAGGACTGCACAGATGTGCAGAGCTCCGAAGTCCACGTGCAACCTCTCCCACACACGTGGATGCTGCAGGAGAGGGGACCGGAGAAGAACCGTGCTCGGCTTTCATCCAGGCAGCATGGAGCCCTTATGACCTGCTGACAACTGCCTGCCGGGTTTGGGATTCACCCCTGACTCCTGCTAGGACCCCACTGAGTCTCAGACATGGTCCTCCAGCTCCTGGGATGTGCCTGAGAACAGGAACCGCTGGAGCCATCTCGAAGGGCGCAGAGGGGGTGCAAAGAGTTCTCTCACCTGCACCCGGTGTGGTCTGCTCCCTTCCCACCCCTCCTCCAGCTGCAGCATCATCCAAGGGCCAGACCTGCACAACCCAGGCTACAGGGCAGCTGGGAATGGCCCGTGTATGGGAATAAAGACCTTGCATCCCCTGTGGGCTTAGACTAGACATCAGGAGGCGCTACTTCACTGTCAGGGCAGCTAGGACCTGGAACCGACTTCCAAGAGAAGTGGTGCTGGCTCCTACCCTGGGGGTCTTCAAGAGGAGGCTCGACGTTTACCTGGCTGGGGTCATTTGAGCCCAGTTTTCCTCCTGCCCAGGCAGGGGATCGGACTAGAAGATCTACAAGGTCCCTTCCGAACTACTTCTATGAATCTATGGGGGGTTTTGCCTTCCTCTGCAGCAGGGGCACAGCCTGGGCCTGGGCTCCCTGCAGCACCCACGACCCCCCTGGCAGCAGCAGGACTTTGGCAGCCACGACCCCCCTGTATCCCGGGGGTAGGGGCGATGCCTGGGGCTGTGTCAGGGGCAACTGTGTCGTGTGGCTGAGGTTGGACACGGGTTTGTCTGGGGGGTTTGGACAGGGCTGATCCTGCCTTAGGCAGGGCTTGGACTGGATGTGACCCTGCAGCTCCCTGCCAGCCCAACTTCTCAATGATTTTATGATTTCTCTGGAAATAAAGCCAAGCAACCTGCCCCTCAAACCTCACCCCATCTTTTATCTGGTGTTGTAGGTATTCAGAGCAACCACCTGCCCAGCAAAGCTAGCCCTGCCTGCCACTGGGACCTGGGCCAGGCCAGCTACATTGCTGCCAGGAGTGCAAATCCAAGGTTTATTAATTTTTTTACTAACAATCTGAAAGCTTTTTACTGACTTTTTTTTAAATAATACTTTTTTTTTTTTTTTTTTTTTTTTTACTGTTATATGTTTTACCAAATGTAACTCTTCTGCCAGGCCCGGCCCTGGTGCCAGGCCCCAGTTAGAAGGGCTAGGGTCAAATTTTATGGGTTTTATGTCAACAATAGGAAAAAAGTTTGGGTGTCAGTAAAAAGCTTGCAGTAAAAACCTGCTGTCTTGGGTTGACAACCCTGCTTGACTGCAACGATGGTTTTACACTGTGCTGCCCAGCCCTCAGGGACCCCCTACGCACCCCCACAGCCTGATATCCCTAGCTGCACCCTGCACTATGCTGCTCACCCCTGCCCCCAGCCTTACCCCTGCTGACCCTGCTTCCCCCATCTAGCATGGACCCCCAAAGAAGCCTACCTGCAACCCAGCAGTATTACAGGCAGCCTGGGACACACTAACAGCACAAAGCTGAGAAAACTCTCCCTGCAGAGCGATGTGCTCCCTCTTGGACAGCAGATAGTGCTGCTGTGTTTTGTCTGTCCGAGCTTCAATCAAGCGAAGTCTGCTTAGTGTTTTTATTGATGACTAAATTTTTTATTTTTACTGACAGCTGGCAACCCCAGCTGTTGCAGAAAAGTAATGGTGATGGGCACTACTGACTGTGCTGCCAAGCACTGGCACGGGAGACACTGGGCAAAGTGTGACGGCACATCCTCCATCGGCAGAAACTGCATTCAGGGAATGGGGACAGCAGAATGGTTGTGCTCCTAATGCCATCCTGTTCTCTCTTGCAAGCACTCAACCAACTGACTGCCCCTTACAAACCCCATATGGGAGGTTTCGCACCCACCGCCAAAACATTGAAGCTGTGTGCTTCTGCAGGCCCAGACCTTGGGCTCTGCCCCTACTCCTGTGACTGAGGTCACCGGAGCCGCGTCAGGCCACCCAGCCTGCCAGAACATCACGGGAACGGACAAAGATCTGTTACAGGAAGGCTGCAGATAAGGCCCTTGCTGCAGAGGATGCTGCTGCTTAGGCCCTTCAATGAGGAGGTTTAATTACTTTAATCCATTTAAATATAATGCATTTTACTGATATTAGCCAGATAAATGGCTCCGATAGTATTATTTGTGCCAAATTACACTCAGATTTGTGCTATTTAACCTACTTTACTGGAGCAGCATCCATCTGAGCCCGGAGCCTAAGAGACTGGGAATACAGCAGAGGGAGATGTATTCCTTCCTGGGATCTCCCGTTCCTCCGGGCTGCAGTATCGTCTCCTGTAAAAAACACACAGTCCTTACACTTTCTGAAGTGCCACACTGGAGATGTCCATCAAGAGGATGGAAACGGGCAGAGACAATGACCAGGACAAACAGCTTTTGCCTTCGTTGTGCAGCACACGCCGACCAGGCCGTGGTAGTGTAAAGAGATGTCTGTGCCTGCAGGAAGGGACTGGAAAATGCTTTTAAACCACATCTCTGTAGACCAGCAGCGGCTTTAGGAGCAGGAGTTCCCCTGCTAGCAAACACGGCAGCTCGACGGGGGCAATTCCCAGTGCATCGCTCCCCACCCCAGCATTTGCCCAGGCGAACTCACTCCGATGGCTTATCTAGGCAGGGTCTGCAAAGACTTACCTATAAGGGCACACAAAAGGCCTCTGTGTGCTGTCCCCGTCCCCTTCCCCAAAGCAAGAGCTAAGCACGAAATCTAGACTTCCCCTATCACACAGAATATAACACATAACCATATGTCACAGAAACACAGAATCCTAGAAAACGAGGGTTGGAAAGGACTTCAGGGGATCACATCTAGTCCAACACCCTGCTCACAGCAGGACCAGCCCCAATCACATCATGCCAGCCAGGGTTTTGTCTAGTCGGGTCTTAAACACTTCCAAGGATGGAAATTGTACCACCTCTCTGGGTAACCTGTTCCAGTGCTTTACTATCCTCCTCAACAGAAAGTTTCCCTATTTCCAACCTCAACTTCCCTTGCTGCAGCTTAAGCCCATTGCTCCTTCTGTCATCTGCCCCCACTAAGACCAGCCCAGCTCCATCCTCTTTGCAGCCCCCCTGCAGGGAGGTGAAGGCTGCTATTCAATCCCCCTCCGTCTTCTCTTCTGCAGACTCAATCAGCCCAGTTCCCTCAGCCTCTCCTCACCAGTCCTGTCCCCCAGCCCCACAACCATTTTCATTGCCCTCCACTGGACTCTCTCCAATGTGTCCACATTCTTTCTGTAGTGGGGCCCACAGCTGGACACAGGACTCCAGATGTGGCCTCCCCAGTGCTGAATAGAGGGGAAGAATCACTGCAATGGGCCTGATTGCCTGGGATTGAACAGTGCCCAGGGGCAGCGCTGTGACCCACCTTAGTCTCATTGCCAGAAAGCATTAATGCTACGCAGCCCGCGTCCTTGGAGGGCAAAGCAGAAAGGGCAGTGGGGTATTGAGAGCTCTAGGCAGGATACACGGGAAGAGAGGATGAACCCGTGAGACCAAGTCCAACTGGGCAGTCCCTCCTGGATGCTCAGGATACAGCGAGGGGATAAAAAAGCTGAATGTCCAGATGTATTGTATCTCTGGGATTGGAGAAGGCTCCAGTCACCGCTCCTGGCTCAGCCTGGCCCACGAGGCCGTACCCTGAACCCTCCTTTCCCCCCAGCTGGAGTTTGCAGTCTAGCAGCCCATGCGCCGGGGCCAGACCTGGCTCCTCAGGCCTCCCTCATTGCATCGGTTAAACCCTTCAGGACCCCAGGGTCAGTGCGGACAGACAGGCACGATGGGCTTTGCAGAGAGTCTCTGCACAGAGCTTTGGTTAAAATGCGAGAGGGTCCAGGCTGTTTGGAAAACATCCCAGCCTCCCAAAGGCAATGGCCCTCACCTGGTCCATCCTTCCAACCCAGGTGCCCTCCAGCCAGGCCAGCAGCACGTGCTGGGTCTTCGGAGCCCAAGCCGCAGCCCCTACCCCTAAAAAGCCAAGCTCTTTGGTCCTCCCACATCGGATATATCCTGGGCTGGAGTCGTCTCCTTCTGCAAGTCCTCTGTAAAGCCAATCTGACTACACTGGACTCCCCTCCACAGCCCCCAACCCCAGCCCAGGGTCTCCAGAGACCGTCCCAATGTCCTGTTTCTGCTGCATCAAGGGTGGGACCCCACCTGCCAGTGCTTTCCACGTTTCCAGACCTGCATTTCACTCTTCAGACACTCTCGATAGTAACAGCTTCACAATTCTTCATCGTTACAGAACGCACGACCCATCAAATGCACGCACCTCCGTCAAAGCTGGGTGCAGAAGATCCCGGGGTGCGAAGCCAGCGGAGGGCTGGCATGGATACAGAGCTCTCCCTGCGCCACCCGGGAAGGAAGATGAGCTAGACCAAACGTGGCATAAATACGGCAGATCTAGGTTGAGCTCTATTATGCTGCGTGCTGCTACAAGAATAGAGACGACAGGCTGCTAACATCCACCGCCCTCCCTCCCCCTGGTGACAAGGTGCGGAGACGTTCGAGCAGAGGCAGGGGGAGAATCCGTGCATTTGCATGGCGATAGAAACGGGAAAGCATGGAGGTTTTTAACGTGGCGAGGCCGGGACGCACTCTTGAATCTGCGGGGAGCCGTGTTGCCAGAGGAGAGGAAAACAGCGGCTGACCTTTCACTGCCACAGAAGCGGGAGAGAGGCGATGGAGTGGAGTCCTACTGAAAATACGACTCGCTTCGGAGATGGAGGCTATAAATAGGACGAGCGCTGCAGCTGGGAGCTAGAAAGCAAGAGCAATGGATCCGAGCGCTCGTCCTCATGCAACGCTATGCCCTGCCCCGTGGCCCGCTGGCTTTGGAGCGTGGGAGCCATCGCAGCCCAGCGATGGGCTCTAATCCCGACTCCATCTCGCTCTCACCCTGGACAAGCCCTTCTGTGCCACGATTTCCCCTTGTTAATTAGGGGGAGCACCCACATTTCCAGGAGGCTTTGTGGCTGAATGCCCGTGGGGTGCTGCCGGGTCCTCGTTTTACGGAGGCAGGACGTCCGCTGCTGTCATGCCCGTGGCAAGCCATGTGTTGTGTCGGGTGAGGGGAGTCTTATGCAGAGTCTGGATTCTGGTTGCATGGACTGGTTGGGACAGGGCTGATCGAGCTGGACTAGATGCCGTCTGGGGATCCCTTCCAGCCCTGCTTCTCTATGCCGCTATTAACACACATCACTGGAAAACACCCCGAACCGGTGTGCTCCTACGATGCTCTTGAAGTCAAATCGTTCCAAAAGACCCCGTTCTGGGTCATGCACGTGCATGAAACATGTCAGGCCAAACAGCGAATGCAAAACCCTGCAAACCCAGGTGTGTGGGCCCAAGGCATCCTCAGTGTAGCGTATACCAGAGGGTATCAGCATCTGCATCCAGCTAGCCCAAGAGGGAGGTGGAGAGGTGAAATGCTTGCAAACCAGAGCCCGAAGCAGCTCAGGCAGGGCGCTCCCATCATGCCCAGCTCAGGTCAGACCCTGCTAAGCACAGGTGCTGGTCTGCAACCTGGCTCCTAGCTGCAGGAAACGCCAAGGCTGGAGGGACATGACAAAGGTGGTCTTTGCCTGACGATCTGGCTGGAAGGGAAGGGCGAGCTCACGCCCGGGCCTGTGCCCAGCTGTTCAGTCAGGAAACCCAAATGATTTGCTGGTAACGAGGGGTGGGGGTGAGTCTTTCGAGCTGGCCTGAATATCAGGCTCCTTCCATGCCCTGCTCCCACCACAGCCCCGACGCCTGCCCGGCTTCTGTCTGCACCCCAGTTGCCCCGGGCACTGTGTGCCCCTGCCCCGACGGTGAAAAACCACCTTCCTGATATCGAATCTTCCTCTGCTCTGCAGTAGTTCAGCCGCATTGATTCATGCCCAGGCCTCTGTGGCAGGGAGGACCCTTGTTCTCCCTCTTCATACTTGAGAAGTTGGGCTGTGCCAATGCTCCTGCTGGCATTAACCCGCAGGGTCCTGGCTGGAGGGTCTTGCCCCCGCGCTCAGGCTCAGACGGATGCTGCAATGGGGGTAGGAGGGGATTTTCCTTCCCAGTCAGACTGGTTCAGACTGGGAAGGTTTTGGACCTTCTCAGGACTGGGTCAGCTATGGAGACCGCTGGATCTACTCCATCCTCACCTGCAAGGAGTAAGCTGGTACCCACTGGAGATCCACATCGGCCCAAGCATGCATTTGCTTGTTGGGATTTTAAATCGGTTCAGACTCCGGTGCAAGCCGCCATGACTCGATTCCACGCGGGAGAAGGCTCGTTATTACCGCCGAGATCAATTCCTCCCTCCTCATCTGCCAAGATACGGCTGGTATATGAAACACCGAGCAATTGGTGCAATGCTGGAGTTAAGAGACTGTCAGCTATAATTTAATTCCTGTATTGGCTTCCTGCATGTTGCTCCGATTAAAAATCCCACGTCACCCTGGGGAGGCTCAAGAAGAACAAGCCATCCCCTTCTCCACTGCGGTTTGGTGGTTCGTAGCAGACACTAATTATTACCCCATCTTGTACTTTATCTGGGAGAACGCAGCAGACTGCCTGTAGTTACCATTACAATCAACCTGCAAGTAATCAATTGAACCACACCATTCATAAAGCAACATGATGCTAGATTTGCCAAGGCAAGCTGCTAACAGTTTGAAGTGGCAGCTAATAACTGTAATACGCTAAAAAGTTTCTTCATTATGGAAGTCGTCCTTTAAAAAGGAGCATGAGTGCTTTAAAAGTCTCAAGCAGGACTTGCCTTATACTGTGAATTTGTGTCTTAGGGCAGAGCCGCTCCACTCTAGAGAGTTTTTTTGTCAGGGCGCTTAAAAAAATCCTCACCAAGAGCTGCAGAAATCGTTCCACAATTAGGCAAGGAGCACAAAATACAAGCCTCCCCGTTGCCACGCACCTCTTTCACCCAGCTCCTCTCTGCAGGTGCCACCCTGCCCTGCCTCATCAGTGCTACGTATCAAGGCCCCTCTTCATTTCAGCTGTATCAGAGGGCACGAAAAGTCTGAAAAGAAGCAGCAAAATTTAGCACAGGAACCCATTAATGGCCAGGGGGATGGGAGGGAGAGGGGATAAATAAGACCAATTAAAATGGCTGGTCACATCAGTTATCCTGTTTCAGAGTGACAGATAATTATAGAAAATGAGGAGTTTTTCCTAATATCCAACCTCAACTTGCCTTGCTGCAGCTTGAGCCCATTGCTCCTTGTCCTGTCATCTGCCTCCATTGAGAACAGGCTTCTGGCCTCTGGACGTGATGCACCTTCCATGTAGTCCGCGGATCTCAACCCCAGCAAGGACACGGCTCCTTCGAGGTTCACCACCCTAGCGCTAACCACTGCTGACAAGTTCGCCTTGCAAACAGGAACACGCGAGAGGGACCGGAGAGCAAGGGAGGATCCGACATCCTGCTCTCCCAGGAGATGGATTAAAAAAAATGGTGAAAGTAATCAAGCTAACGAACTGGGGCTGAGAGACGAGAAAAGCAACAGCTGGCAAGCTCTGCTCTGCTCTGCACTGGTGGAAAGGAGGCAGTCCCGAACACCAGATTTCTACTGTCGAGTCTGCTGACAAAGCTCCACCTGAGAGGCAGGTAGCCGCGGTAGTCTGAAGTCGGTCAGAAAGCAGGGCAGTTGGCCACCGCAAATGAAAGCTGGAGAGAAACCAGCTCTAGAGTTGTTACGCATCTCCAAGCACTAACTCGGGAGCTGCGTGGCTCTTTTTCTAGATCACCAGTCATTGCTATGGTGTGATAATGTAGCTGGTCTCAAGTCACTGCCCGATTCACCAGTTCATTGCGTGATAAGTACCTTGCACATGTGGCTATCTAAATTCATTGCCCGACTCACCACTTAATAGCACGATAACTGCTTTTCATACGTGGCCGTCCAAACTGATCGCCCAACTCACCCGTTAATTGTGTGATATATTAAGTGCGTCGCATCGCAGAGGCCTTATAGACTAAGATATGTAAAGACAGCACAAACTTTCACAGACCCAAGTTCCCCTCGTCAGCGCTCAATCTGCCCAGAAAAGAGGAGG